GAGGACAGACAGGGAAGCATTTGGGCCCAAAGAGCTGAAATCAGTGTGATGGAGTTGAGCATCTCCTGAAACCAAGGAGTGAGTTTCTCAGTGATACTTTTAAATAGAAATTGAAACATTCACCAGATAAGAAATGCATCTAAGTGGAGAGCCATTGACCTCCTTCCTTCCTTGGAGCAGGAGAAGGCCAGACCTTTTCCTTCTCCCTCCAAGAGTTGGGATCTGACTGGCGATTTTTAAAGTAAGATATAGTTGATGGCATCTAACTACAAAGTGTCTTCCCAAACTCTCTGATGGGAGGGAAAGAAATCCTTACCCAGAGAGGCCACGTTCCTACAATTTTCCAGCATGACTTCAAAATGCAGCATTTTTTGATGAGGATCCAGCTGAGACCACTCCTTCTCAGAGAAATACACAGCCACCTCCTTGAAGGATATAAGACCCTCCTGAAGAAGAGGGAAAAAAAGAACAGTACAGGCTGAGGAGGATTTGCAAGATCTGTCCTATTCTTCACAAATTCCGAAAGAAAAGATATGCACGAAGTTTAGCTATGCTTGGTTGGATTTTAAGGTTTAGGTGAGAAAATGGAAAGAGCCAAAACCTTTTGACTGAAGAAATATTTAGCAGTTCCTATGGCTGTAATAATATTATTCCTATCTCTTCAGGAACTTCTTAAAAAATTAGTTATTGTAAATGAATAATAGGAAGAATAACTAACAGAAGGAGACCAATAGAGGTGAATATGTGTAGCTCAGGTTTGAACTGTGGAGTCCTTGGGGTTCTCTGAGGTTGGTTCTTTTCTTGCAAAAGTTTTATTATCCGGCTAGGTAACATCCTCAGTGCTAAAATGGGATGAGGTTTGCTCTCTATTTATGTGCTGTGGCCTACCTTGCCAGTACTGGTAAGGGTGGGGTTTTTGTTTTGCTCCTGTTTTTTCTTCTTGTGCTACTGGGTCTTTTGGTCTACTTAAGAAATTTTGGAGTGATTTTGTTGGTTTGTGTGCTACAGAGATGCCGTAGCACGCAAATGGGAGAAATCTGCTTGCTCAAGGACAAGAAAACATGCGGGCCCAAAAAGAAGGGAAAAATGGAAGGAGAGAGTCCTACATACACCAGCTTGACTGCCTGAAGGAAAGGGAGAATACAAATCTAATAGATAAATTTCCTCCTCTTACTGGAGCTGGAGGTTCAGCCACTGTTTCAGCTCCACCAGAAAGATAGGACAACTTCGTTTGAGTATTCCCTGTGAGGGAGAGAGAATTTTAAAGTGCAGAATTAACAAAATAGGAGGAGGCATACTAGAGAAGAGAAGAGATAGAGAAGATGAGACAACTGGGATCTCTCTGGGGAATGGGAGGTCCTTCGATTACCTCCTGAGGTGTCCTGACTTGGATCTTCCTGAGAGACCCTCCTGAAAGACAACTCCTGAGGGGGACTGGATGGATTCCTCCTTCCCTCAGGATCTCTGATGTCCACAGCGAAGGACTTGAAATAGTAGGCAGGAGAAAAGAA